CTATGGTCTGCCACCTTCAGAATCCAGCCCCATACATAATTTCTAGGCTTCTGCTAGCACATGTTGCCTAAATCATGCAGCTTTTTCAGGATATAGCCATTTCTTCTCCTCTAGTCCCAGCACTTGACTGGCCATGCTCTGCTGTGGCTTGATGCTACATCTTGATTTGGTGGCTAGGAGGGGATGTGGGATTAGGTTCTTTTGGCAGCATGGGGTACAATCTAGAGGATGATGCATTGTCTTTATGCAAGGGGAAACTAGAACCCTTTGATTCTTCCTCTAACAGAGAGGGGCAGAAAATTCCTATAGACCCAGGGTGTTGAAGGGGATCTGAGGCTTTGATATTCTCTACGTACATGGCCTTCTCATGTCTCAGAGTTCCAACTCTATCCAACTAAAGCCTTGACTTTATGTAGTTGAGATTTCAACCCTTGGAGATCTGCTATTGGCTGGGATCCTCTACTTTCTCTGTTGTAGACTGTAAATGATAAGTGTTACTTTATATGCAGCCTTAGAGGCTGAATTTCACATTGTGCTTTTGATTTGTGAAATTTCCTTTAGGCATTCAGTGTCTTTCTCCAATGCATCAATTATGCTCAGCAAGAGCTATCTGATTCCATTGTCCTTATAATTAGTACTTCCACTGAACCTTCCAAAAGCCTGATATGTTGTACCAGCCTGTACATTTCCCTTTTCTGGCGTTTCATCCATTTCAACTGAATAAAGTTTAATAACAACCAATTGCATCAAACTTCATTCTATCTTTTTACTTGATAGCTTTTCCAGTAAACAAAATTCAAACTGAGTTACAAGCCCCTACTTCAGCAAAGAGCAATTACGCTATTAAATATGTAAATATTAGATTTTTTTGGACCTGTGTGAGGATTTTCACTAAGTCCAATCACTTATTACTTTTTAATATATTGCAAATAGAATAAGGCTAATTTTAATAGCTTGTATTGGAATTTGATTCTATCTACTGGAATGCCTCTGAATCACAATAAGACATAGATTGCAACTAAGCTAGTGGTTTCCACTGATCTAAAACTGGCCTAGCCAGGACAACTTGATGTGTTGGGGTATGATCCAGAGAGCTCTAGGCCATAGCTGTTGCTCAAGCTTATTAGAAGTAGGCACTAGGATTCTTGACAGACCTAGTAATAGTTCTAGGTTAATTTTAGAATCAACTGTGTCAAAATTCTAGTAAAGCTGCCTTAACCTGTGGAACATAATGGAATCTGTTTTCACACCCTCCCTCATCTATATTGCCAGAAATCTTTGCTATTCATTCCCAGTGCAATTCCTTTCTAGGAGGCTTGGCATGCTCTCACAGAGGCAATGCCATTCTTGCCAATTTGCATCCTTGAGGGTGAAGGTCAAGGGCTCCCAATTTAATTGATTTCCTTCTTTGATGAAAGGCAGGACAAGAAAGATGGAACTTCGTGAAAAATCCCTGGTGTTCCCATGCATGTCATTTGCCAGTGCGCAAAACAGCAAGGCTTTCATTTCCTCACAGACATCCATGCTTGGTTCCTGTCGTCCGTTCACTGCTAGTATCTGGCCCTGAATCTAACATGCCACTGAATGTACAAAGGAGTCTGTTGTATTTTTTTGTCATTTCTGTTTTGGCTTGAGCCCCCCCGATGTTGCTCTGGCCCAGCAGTCAGCTGCTCAGACAAAGAGAGTCTGTCTCTTCATCTTGCAATTTCCTGCTTTCCATTCTTCACTCTCATGATCCAACAAAAGGATTTCATTAAAGGAGTTAAGTGCTTGGTTATTATCAGAGGGAAGAAAACAAATCCAGCTATTTTTGACCGTGGAAGTCTTTCACAAGCTACTGAAATCAGCTTTCTTCACCTATAGTAATCATAAGGAATCACCCATGATTTCTATTGGTTATCTCATTATGCCACTGTAGAATGGGCAGATTTGTGTTGTTTAAAAACCAAGGGCAGATTATGTAACTATTCAAAGAACTCAGTGTTTTTGTTGCTGGGTTGGTTGTTCTTGTTCATTGCTTATTTGTGCGCTACTTGTATAGCCACTGAAGTTTTTGGTAAATTCTGAATGCTAAAAGCACATAAGGCTGAGGTATTATTATTTCTTGGAAACCAAGTAACAAAACAAAACAAAAACAACTTCTTTACTAACTCCATCAAGTACATTCAGTAATAGAGTAACATCCTTTAATCTAAGAGCAATCAGAAACTCTAGTATCTTGTAATGTTCAAAAGGGAACCCTAGCTTTTTTTTTTTTTTTTTTGCTTGCTTGCTTGCTTGCTGGCTTATTTATTTATTTATTGAGAGAGTGAGTGAGCAAGCATGTGAGCAGGAGAGGAGCAGAGAAGAGAGAGAGAGGTAGAGAGAGAATCCCAAGAGGGCTCTGCACTGCCAGCAGAGAGCTGGTTGTGGGGCTCAGTCTCGCAAACTGTAAAATCACGACCTGAGTTGAAATCAAGAGTCAGACACTTAACCAACTGAGCCATCCAGGCACTGCCCCCCCCCCCCACAGCTTATTTCTTAAAAGTTAGCACACCGACATATTACTTTATATACGCATTAGTGTATAAAAAAGTCACCATATTCTTTTTTCATACCATTAGGTTTTCAACTTTCTATAAAATTTAATAGAGTTGAATGATTGCATTTCACACCTAAGATTTTGGAAGGCACAAAGAGAAAAATTAAAGCTTATTGAGCTGGGTTTTAAAAATCTGAGTGTTTACTTATATGAATAAAATTGAATTCATTTTATACTGTATCTGTGTACTACAAAGGAAGACTGAACACACATTTTAGTTGTATTGCTGAACTAGGAAATATTCTGCCCATAACTGGTGAACAGATATTCTTAAAAGTATAATCATCAACTTTAATTATCATTAAAATTGAATTTGGTAATCTATCACACTCTTTTCTTTTTGGTTTTAAGAAACATCTTTTGGCTTAGTGTCTAGATGACAACTATTCTCTACCTTTGGAAACTGATACAGAAGGGGGTCTCCACCAGTCATGGCTATTCTATAGGCCTGCTGTGGTTGATTGGGTCTGAGGTGGACACCTCATGTAACCAGTGACCATTGCCTGATCCCAGTGATTTAGGAAGCTGGAATGAGAGACACAGATACTAGGAGCTTCTAGTAGTTGAGTTTTATTGATGGCAATACCCTAAGGCCTATGAACTCCCACAGAAAGAACCTGCTCAGATATTCTGAAAGAATATCTGCTTTACCTGAGACCCACTTCAGCTCTAGCTTAGCTTGTGTGAGATATGGCAGTATCTCCCTAAAAGTATGTTTATTTGTTTAATCTACCTCTGTCTGGTGTCTGTTACTTGCAAACAAATATATCTCAAGTAATATATTTAAACTGTATTTATCATGTGTTGGCATCTATTTTTGCATTGTAAATATTAATGTCCCCCTTTACATTTCTCCTACCTCCTAACAAATGTATGACAGATACTTCTCTCCAAAATTTTGTACTCAAATTAGAATGCTTACATTAACAACAATGAAACAAAATTCCAAGGATATCCATACTACAAAGTCCACATTTAATATTACAGTTTACTGCAATAAAATGTTAACAGAATATGCCCTTAATCTAAGTATACAGAAAGTATTCAGTCAGTATCTAATGAATTTAAATCAATTCATTTATTATATTTTTGGACAACTATATTCTTACCTCATTTCAGTACATTTCTACATACCACATAAATGTTTTTGTAATTCAATATCCTATCTAATAACAGCAGTATAAAGATTGCTATTAAAGGACATCAGCTCAGCATTTTAAATATTATATGTGTAACATACAGCTTTTTAACAATGAAGATTTTCTAAAAATATTTGTAATTTTTTTTTTATTTAAAAAAATTTTTTTTCAACGTTTATTTATTTTTGGGACAGAGAGAGACAGAGCATGAACGGGGGAGGGGCAGAGAGAGAGGGAGACACAGAATCGGAAACAGGCTCCAGGCTCTGAGCCATCAGCCCAGAGACCTACGCGGGGCTCGAACTCACGGACCGCGAGATCGTGACCTGGCTGAAGTCGGACGCTTAACCGACTGCGCCACCCAGGCGCCCCTGTAATTATTTTTTAAATGTAAAGCTGCTTGCCATTTTACAAACGAGAAGCAATAGCTTCCAAAGCAAACCTTAGGTAATATCAAAATAGCCTTTTATGAATGAGAAATCAAGGAAGTGAATCCCTATCTCATTACTGCACACACAAAAAAGCCACTTATCAAAAAATTCATCTTACTCTTGTTGGATAAAGTAGCAGCTATTTTTGTCCTTTGCTCTCTTGTAAGATCGTTAGCTTTGTGAGTCTTGAAACAAATTTTCCCAAATGGATATTCAGTCTCGTGCTCATCATGGGTGCTCCATAAATATTGTTGTATAAAAACTTACCGCCCTGGGAGGCTAATGAAGAACAGATGCAGGCAAAAACAAGATGGTGCAACTAGAGGAGAACATGGAAGCTTAAAAACATTAGTATGAGCAGAGGGAATAAAAGAAAAATGCCAGTTGTCAGCTTAAATGGAGTTTGTGGATATAATTGAACAGCTCATAAAAATAGGTAGGAAAAAAGGATGATCTGCACTCTTATTTTCTTTCTTTAGGTTACAGCTGTGATTCTTGTAGAAGTAAAATATGTTTCCAACTCATTCACAAGGGACATCAGTCCTATAGGTCTTTGTAACACTAGAAGCAGTTACACAGAATGTTTGAGTCTTAGGAAGTATGACAATGTAGATCCACTCCTCTTCAAGTTTAATCAGCAGAGTTTTTCTTTTCGGTTTGGTTTGTTTTTGACATAGGTTTCCAATGGACTAAACTTCAAATTCTGGTAATTCTGTAGCAAAAAATATAGCTCTTGGCTATACTTATCACATTTTAAATTTCCCCAATGACTCTAACATGTGCAGCTTGCTGATAAAAAGGTCTTTTTGTTTGTTTTGTTTTTTTGTTTTTTTTTCTGCCCTGTCTTTAGCTCTTCTGATGTGTCGGATTTTTGTTGTTGTTGTTGTTTTTCCTGTTCACCTAGTGACCAGTTAGGGAGGAAAAAGTAAGGATCCAGTGATGACAGAGCCAGGCAATATACTTTTCAAAGGTCATTTGCCCAGATAATTAAAGAATATGCAAAGAATTACTCATAAATTGGGACCTAGCAGTCAGCTTACACAGTTGTGCAAAACTATGGTTATTTGGTTGTTGGAAGATAGCATGATGTCAAAGGCACAGTTGCTATTTTTCTCACTAAAACTTGGTTGATTTGAATTGTATTATAAAATTTTTCCTTGATTATCTATCACTGAATATTTGGGCAGGAAGTGCACTTTTATTATTTTTGTTTGTTTGTTTTGAGTGGGGAGGGGCTGAGGGAGAGAAGATAGACAATCTTAAGCAGACTTCATGCCCAGCGTGGAGCTCAACACAGGGCTCAACCTCACAACTGTGAGATCATGACCTGAGCCAAAATCAAGCATCGGACACTGAACAGAATGAGCTACCCAGGCATCCTTATTTAATTTTTTAACCTCTCCTGAGTCACATAAAGTGACTTTAGAAGTAGACGGTCATAAATATTTTTATCCAGAAAAAGCTACACATATATGTGTATATTAAATTTTATATAAAATTCAAATTTTGACATATATTTAACGGTGATTGTTAAAACCTACCATTGGTACTTGAACGTCTTGGTTCACTCACAAATTAAACCTCCCTTTTGGAACTGCTACTATGAAGATTAGTCAGCTCTTGATAACTGAAGTTTTGCAATTTTACTCTTGCCCTTTACGTAATACAATGTGTGCCTTTGCCCTTGTCACTGCCCTTATGAATCACCTGCAAGTGGAAAGATAGAGACATTTATCAGAGAACCAAGAACAAGAAAGCCAAGCATTATTTCCACCCCTCTTGTATATATTCTGAAATACAGTATTTAGAATACAAAATTTTAAATGTATTTCTTTAGTGGATAAAGTTTAAAGATATATTAGAACTTCCTTACTGAATTTATATTACTGATACTCACAAGCATAATATTTAGTCAGTTTAACAGCTTGTAAAACATTTCTGTGCTCTATTACAGCCAAAAGTACAAAATGCACGCTATATTTGGGTAGTGTGCAGTCTATTTCAAATGTATGTCTAAGGATGGAGTATTTATAGTTTTCTGTCATTTTTCTTTTTCCTCTACATAAGTTAGGATGATGTAAGTAAACAATAAGATTTTACTTTGCAATTTAAGTTTCTTTGTTTATGTGTTTCTTACTGAATCAAAAGGCTTTTTGGAAATTACCCAGTTCTCTCCAACATAATGTATAGAAAAGTAATTTTACACTGATAACAAAGTTGGAATGTAGGTAAAACATTTTTCTTTCTGTTTCTTTTGCCCTAAGCTCTTATTGTTCAAAGTGTTTTTCCCCCTCTTTATAATATTCACCATAGTAATGTAAGGAATTACTACGCATTAAACCCAGATATATTTATTTGTAATTCATATTTATTTGAATAATATCTATAACATTTTAATTATATTCCTTTTTTTAAAATTTTGACTCAACACTGAAGATGAGAAAATGGAAATGAAGAAATACTAGATGTTAAGAGTAATTAATTATAGTAGATTTTATTTAATCTTTACAACAAAGTATGTGAGTTCCATTATTTCCAATTTACATGTTATTTTCAGAGGGACTAAGATGTTTCCTAGGATGTCATAGCTAGAATGTGGTAGAGGTAAGACTTGAACCCAAAGATTCTGATTTAAAAATAGTCAATATGTTTTCATTTTTTGGACAATTTCAAAATAACTGATAGAACAAGTATCTGGGATGAAGTTTTCAAAATAAATAAGAATTGCCTTTAGAGAAGCATTTGCCTAATGTTAACAGTACAGTAATTGAGTTAGTTTACATAGTAGTTAGGAATAAGTTTCCTCTTTTTACTTTGGTATCTCTTACCTCTGTTTTCCGGTGCTTATTGTCTCTGTACTAGGATCTAGATCCATGGCATGTCATAAAAAAATTTATAAATTTTAATGCATTACACACACATACACACACTATTTGATATATTTTCTAGTCTATCCACTGTCTTTGATATCCTTTGATATCTTTTCTAGTCCTCAATTGTCAAAGGCCTTAAGTGACTGGCCTAGTTTAGAATCTTATCTCTTGTATATTTGCTGAGTTCACACCTGCTGCTATTCCATCTGCTACAATTTTAGATCACTAAGACCTTCTTGAAATATGTGGAAAATGTCAAACATAGTCCCAAAAAAGTGCTGCCTCCTTTTAAGCTGATGGTGTCCTGAAATGACTGAGTTTTTCTTTTCCTAAAGATAAGCACTTACCTTTTTTTTTTTTTTTTCAGTGACCTAAAGTCCCTTTATTTAAAGGATCAAGGTAACTTGGTCATGGTTTAAAGGACAGAGAAGTAGCATTTCAAAAGTAAATGTCACTCTACTTGATGGTAGGCACTTGAAAGTTTATCCATGCCATACTTATATTAATTTTGCACCTGAATGAAATAACAAATTTTAATCATGTTTTCACATTTAGTGAATGTACAAAAGAGTTTCTTTCTATCTCAATCTTAATATATCCAGGACAAGATATTTTATGTTTAGGAATAACATCTAATAGCTTGATTCATTCATTCAGATATTTACTGTCTGCAAGATTCAACCTGGAACTGGACTATAAGGGCCGGAGAATATGTTCAGTAAAGAACCTGATAAGATTACATTTGTATGAGCATATGGGTCATTCTTTACGTATATATTTAGTTCTTATTTTTGTGTTTAAAATTCAGACATAAAAATTTATGTTTATTTTCTTGTATATTTGTATATAAATTTACTATACTTTTTTTTTTAACGTTTATTTATTTTTGAGACAGAGAGAGACAGAGCATGAACGGGGGAGGGTCAGAGAGAGGGAGACACATCATCCGAAACAGGCTCCAGGCTCTGAGCTGTCAGCACAGATCCCTACGCGGGGCTCGAACTCACGGACCATGAGATCATGACCTGAGCCGAAGTCCGCCGCTTAACCGACTGAGCCACCCAGGCGCCCCAAATTTACTATACTTTTTAAAGAAATTACTTAAGGATGACATTTTTTCCTCTTAAGCAATAAGGAAAATATGGGGGTAGGAATGGATACAGCGGCTCCAAGGACCAGGAAATAGTAAATCCGGACTCTGTTGTATGAATAATTATCACCATATGGGAGCATTATTATGCTTCCAGTGTATGTTGGAGGATTTTTAGTGTTAATATTTTTATGCCTTCTAGAAATTATGTTTTAGAGTATTGTTATGAATTAGGGTAGAATTCACCTTTATTAGCTTTCACTGCAATATTTTATTGGTTGAAAGTTTAATTCTGTCCAAAATGGCAAGACCATACAATCTTGGGTGTTTGCTTCTTTATATAAAATAAAGGAATTGGACAATTACAAAATTAGATAGTTTTCTGAGCCTTAGCCCATAACTTTGTGGTCATGGTGGGCAGGGCTTCTCTACCACTGGGAGGAGCTAATGGGGGAGGAAAGGTAGAATTAATCTTCCGAGAAAGCTGTCAGCCCTCATTGATAGACTGACGTTCAGAGCTATGGAGATTGATTTTTCTTCCTACATCTGCGTTGGATTCTAAATCTTGAGCTGGTCTCCTTGTTTTTTGTACCTTTTAACAATCTAGACTGTTTTTGAACAGTTCTTTCTCTTTGCTGTCATGTGGGGGAATTTCACTACAAAAAACCTAATCACAACTCCTGTATGAACTTAACAAGATGAAGGCATCCGCCAAAAAGGAAACTAACTAGATAACCACAGGAAACACAAATGCCGTCAAGGTTCTAGCCAGGAATTTAAACTTTTTCAAATGTGTACTTTGAGGATTTTCAGAAAGCACAATGCCAATTAATCTGCTCCTTGGAATTTATATGTTGGGGGCTTTGATTCTTCCCTGCAAGAAAACCAAACAAAAAATGAACTAAAATATGCATTGTATCATAGAGATTGTAGGCCCAAATACATGGGAAAATGACATTTTTCATACTTCTGCTTTACCTCAGCCTAAGATATATATGACATCATTTGCTTCTACATAAGATTCTCAACACTAATTCTTAAAATTTTTAAGTTTTTCTGAGTATCGAAACCATGGTAAGAACTTTGCTTAGTATTTTGCCAAGTGCCTCTCAATCAAGGCTGACATTTTGGGCTATCTAGGCTGATAAGGCACTTTAAGTAGAGCTTTTTGTTAATGTATTCAAAACCCTGGTCTTTTGGTCTGTAGCCTGACCCTAATATTGCCAATGTACCAAAAGCTCTGGAATTCTACTGCTAGATTCCTGGCTTGGGGTGGACGGAATGCAGCTGCCTGCTATCAGACTTTCCTTTTGCTGTCCGGACAAACAGTTCTTGTTCCTATATTCTTAGTATTGTATCTCACATGGATGTTCCTGGCTTCTTGTCATTTGTTGTATAGTTATCTCCCTATTGCCTCTCTATCTAGACTTCTTCCCAGCATTTCCTTCTTTCTGTACATGAGTAAATTTCACAATGTTGTTCCTCCCAATAATGTCCTATACTACAAGTATCTGAGCCTGTTATACCTGAATATCATGAGATGCCTTCCTAATTTGTATGGATCACCTCACAGGGCCTTCTCCTCGAGGAAAAGTAATGCTTTTAATTCTGTCACTGAGTAGGCAGTGCTTGGGACTTTGGCTCACTGCTTTTAGAAAGCTAGAAGAGATGATAAACTGAAACATCTGTCCCTGTCTGTTCTGCCCATAATGTGGGCCTGCTTTGAAGAGGAGGACAGTATAATTTTCCCAGCAACCCATCCTTAGAATGGCCTAGGACTTTCACTATTTCTTCTTCAGCAATGATTCTGGTTCTAAGTATGTCTCTGACTACCAGGAGTTATGATTTTGAAGGGTTCCATTTGCTGTGTTTTGTTTTTAAAATAGTTGTTTGGGGATAAATTTCTACTGGATATAAAAACAGGAAAAATTAAAAGGACTTTTCTATTCCTCTGAAAAATAATGATACTAACCACCTCCATCAACAAAATATCTTCCTTCGACACTGAAAATTATACAGTCTTTGTGTTTCCCATTCAGATAGTGCTACCAACAAATTTAGATGTCAGTGTAGAGCTTAAATATATTATTCCACACCATATTCTCAGTAGATTTATTTATCAACTCTCTGTAAAAAATTTGTCACTTAAAAAATATCAGCCTTATTTTACAATTCACTGTGATGGGTTTTTTGTTCATTGGTTTGGTGATTTGTTTGTTTGTTGTAATTCTTGTCTGACTTTGTTGAAGGTATATTTGATATAAATGATAAATGCATTCAGAGTCAGAAACATTATACAGATATTAAGTGTTAAAGATTACAACATCAACACCTTCATATTGAATGTATTCCACAGTTAAATATGCAACATTATAGATTGGTCTGTATTAAACTGGTGATGGGTGTTGTGTGGGAGTAAGGATGGGAAGGTTTGTCAGTAAAGAAACAGCTCGAGGAATTCAAGTCAATTACAAACTGTCAATATGAGTTATCATCTATAAACAGGTGTCTATTATGTGAAAATCCTTTTTATTCCAGAAAGAATTACTTTGAACGAACTACTTCTAGTGCATCCAGGAATTGTTGGCATGAAAACGATGACTGAAAGCTATGTCTAATGGCCTGGAACTCAGGCTGATAGTGAAAAGCCAACAGAGTGTAGCATTAGAATGTCTCTCCTCCCCATGGGCGGTAACAAAACAGCCAGATCAAAACTCCTTAATATTGATTTCCAGAGCTGTTCTTGGACATAACTTTGAGTTGTGCCAAACTTCTTATTAGAATGGCAGTGAGTATCTACTGTATTTCATGTCTAAACATTGCTGTGATAATTAGAGCTCAGAATCAGTTATTAACAATACATAATTTACAATTGCTTTAAATTAGGTATTTTCTTCTGGTTCAGATGAGATTTTAAAATTTATGAAAAAGGTCTTTATCTCAGTTTTACACTGTTGCTTATAATTTTCAGGCAAATGTCCTAGCTAGAAGTTTGGTATAAGCCACCAAGGGTACCCATGGCTTATTGCTGGGGACGTTTGCCCAAACAACTTGCCAGACTTCTCATCATTCAACATGGCACTTCATCTTCAACGGTAGGAGTCGGTCCTACTGAATTACAAATGTTTGGCAGCCTCTCAAAACTTGTCTTAACCATTTCCATAGAGATTAGGGGGAGGTCTCACATCACAAATAATATGTTCTAGATGCTCATCTGTCTGGATTTAGTCTTCGGTTATTTTTACCACAAGGGTTGATTTTTGTTGGGAAATACAGTACTGAATAATAATTTTCTGCTACTATAATTTAGTTTCCTAGTCTGTGCCAAACAGTCCCGAGGGTAAAAGGACAAGCATGCATGGTCCTACGGATTGACGTTTAGTATTTGCTACAGAGGATGATCTGACAATATTTTACCAGCTCACTTGCTCTTTTGCAGCAATGATATCCAGGGACTCACTAAAGACATAAAGAGAAACAGTACTTTTCCTGGAACCATTTGATTGCTGGTATTTCTGTTGCTTCTAGTGTAATGCAGAAGTTGTCATGTAAAATGTTGCCTCTTTTGGGCCCAAGATGAGCCTACCAAATGGCAGGTGTTTGGGGAAAGATATTAGGGAATGGATGAGATTTGGGAAATGGATGGGGATTCAAATGCCATTTTTCCCCTTGTGGTTGATGATAACCTGTTTTGGACCAGTGTGTTTTAATTTTATATATGCTTCTCCTTTTTTCTGGTGATCAGAACCAAAATCAGTGAACATATTGCATAAATTGAACAGCAAAATATATCGCTTCAATACGAAGATACCGTGGCTTGGTGAGTATAGCTGAATCTAAAGATAGTTGTGTTCTGTAAAGCTAGTGTTTATGGTTTTGGTGCATATTTACCTCTTACTTGCCCGATGTATTTTGGTGCTAGTTACTAGTCTACTAGTATCCATACTGGTTATTAAACCATTAAAAAGCTCCCGTAGCTATTAGTAAATAGCCTCTGTTCAAGTCTCCTAAGTGTTTCTACATCATCCTAATCTTGATTAATACAAATATAAATTTATTTGTGGGATATAATTAACACATAACATTAGTTTCAGGGGTACAACATAATGATTTAATATTTGCATATATTGCAAAATGATTACAATAGACCTAGTTAATATCCATTACCACACATATTTACAGATTTTATTTCTTGTGATGAAAATTTTTAAGATCTACTCTTTTAGTAATTTTCAAATATATAATATTATTCACTATAGTCACCATAGTGTATATTACATCTTTATTCATGACTTACTCATTTTATAGCTGGAAGTTTATATTTTTTGACTACCTTTCCACCTTTACACCCTCCCCCTCCACTCACCTATTTTCTGCATCTATAAATTCCACTATTTTAGATTCTATGTTTTTTTTTTTTTTATTATTATTTATTTTTGGGACAGAGAGAGACAGAGCATGAACGGGGGAGGGGCAGAGAGAGAGGGAGACACAGAATCGGAAACAGGCTCCAGGCTCCGAGCCATCAGCCCAGAGCCCGACGCGGGGCTCGAACTCACGGACCGCGAGATCGTGACCTGGCTGAAGTCGGACGCTTAACCGACTGCGCCACCCAGGCGCCCCTAGATTCTATGTTTAAATGAGATCATACAGTATTTATCTTTATCTGTCTTATTTCACTTAGCATAATACCCAATGATCTCAAATGGCAAGATTTACTTCTTTTTGTGGCTGAATAATATTCCACTATATATACACCTATCACACCACATTTTCTGTATCCATTCATCCATTCAGGGACATGTAGGTTGCTTCCATACCTTGGCTATTGTAAATAATCTTGCAATGAACATGGAATGCTTATATCTTTTTAAGATAGTGTTTTTAATTCCTTCAGATAAATACTTAGAAGTGGAATTGCTGGATCATATGGTAGTTCTATTTTTAATTTTTTGAGGAAATGTCACATTATTTTCCATAGTGACCACACCAATTTACATCCCACCAATGGTGCACAAGGATTTTCGTTTCTCCCCATCTTCTCCAATGTTTGTTATCTCTTGTATTTTTGATAATAGCCATTGTCACAGGTGTGAGGTGATATCTCATTGTGGCTGATTTCCCTGATAATTAGTGATGTGGAACACTTTTTCATGTAGCTGTTGGCCATCTGTATGTCTTCTTTATAAAAATGTCTATTCAGATCCTCTGCCCAGTTTTAAATCATATTGTTTTTGAACTGTGTGAGTTCTTTATATATTTTGGATATTAACCCTTTAACAGATACAGGATTTGCAAATGTTTTCTCCCATTCATTAGGTTGCCTTTTCATTTTGTTAATGGTTTCCTTTGCTGTACAGAAACGTTTTAGTTTTCTGCAGTCCCACTTGTTTATTTTTGCATATGTTACCTTTGCTTTTGGTGTCAGATCCAAAAAAATCATTGTCAAGACTGATGTCAAACAGCGTATAGCATATGTTTCCTTCTAGAAGTCTTATGGTTTCCAGTTTTACACTTGTCTTTAATATATTTTGAGTTCATTTTTATGTATAGTGTAAGGTATTGGTCCAGTTTCATTCTTTTGCATGTGGCTGTTGAAAAAGCTGTCCTTTCCCCAGTTTATTTTCTTAACTCCTTTATTGCAAATTAGTTGACCATATGTAGGCATGGGTTTATTTCTGGGCTCTCTATTCTGTTCCGTTGATCTATGTTGTTTTAATGCAATATCATACTGATTGGATTGCTGTAGTTTTGTAATACAATTTGAAATCAGGAAGTGTGATGCCTCCAGCTTTGTTCTTCTTTCTTGAGATTACTTTGGCTATTACTTTGGCTAAATATTTCTTACTAACTATATCTGAATATTTTAAATATTTCTTATTTCTATACCCTACTACTGCTACCATACTACTGGTATTACTACTCCTAATAGCATCACTAAGTCATTGATCTTGGGCTAGGCATATTTCTAAGTATTCTACTTATATTAACTCATTTAATCCATATGACAATGCTCTGAGGCAGTATTATTATGTTTTTTACAGACAAGGAGATAGAGGCACTGCGAGATTAAGTAACTTGCTCAAAGTAGAAAAGGTAGGAAGTGACATAACTGAAAGTCAGCCTGCCTAGAATGGTTTTAAATCCAATATTCTTCCTACTACTCCTTCCAGCTTAATTAAGCAAACATCCTCGACTATTCTAGGTAAAAAGTATTATATTCTTTTCTAAGGTAAACACATAGACTTGCTACTATTATTTGTTTAGATCTGACTTTACTGGAGCCAAGCTTAGCTTTGACATTTGCAGACATGGGTTAGCTTTCATCTCACTGCAAGATATAGGGCAACCTGGTATTTAGTTTACCTACAAAAGGCAGTTAGGAAGCCCTAGAGGAACCTAATTAAAATGCAGCACATTTCCAAGGCACCATATCTTGCTGTGTTGCCATAGAAACAGTGGGAATTTCTGGTCATTGACCTTTAATGGAAATTGAGGATATATTTTCATAGGGTTCATAAGAGAAGCAATCCCAGTATATTAACTTCTAGTTGCAGGACAACTTTGGAAATCCCCTATGCAATCCCACCTGACTTGAGAAGTATATTATATCAGCAAAACTTATTAGAGGCTCAAACTCCCACTTTTTGAAGAAATGTTTTTTTAACTACTTCCAATACGCCATCTGTGCTATTGGACTTAAAATAATCAAAGATAGTGTTGTAGCAACAAAGAAACATTAAAGGAAATCTTAGGTAATTATACAAGAAACATCAGAACTAATATTGTATTTTGAAATAGTTTGCATTGCATCTATTCTATTCCTTTTGGATTATGTAAATCTAGGCTTACTCAAATATTAAATGCAATATTACTGTATCAAAAAAATATACCTAGAAACTCAAAGTATTCTGAAATGTTAAGGTGACCACATTTAAAAATACAAATTCTTAATGCTTGCCCTTTCTAGTTTATTTATAAATTCAGGCATTATATTCCTAAGTATGTATCATTGAAAATACTACTTACATGATATATATGTATATTTTGTGTGTGGCATATGTATATGCCATTTGACAGAAGGTAAGGGCCTGTGATTCAACAGAAAAAATGACAAAGTGTACCTTACTGAGGACTGCTTTTTACTATATTAGCATTTTTATTTTCTACTAAAATAAATAACTTAGTTCTATCGTCAGGATATGCACACTTAATTACAAGGAAATGCCAATCAGGGAAATCAGGGTCTCACTACTTTCTCTTAGAAGAATATCTCCATATATATATATAAGTATCACTTATTCTGGACATAGACATCTGAAGAAAAATAGGAATATTCTAATAATTATATGTAGAAAAGCAAGGCCACTACCCCAGTCCCTAAACTCTCACACAGCTGGGTTCTCTCACACAGCTGTATGTTCTTACTCTCAGAGACAATGTGGGCTAGGGGCTGAGAACACAGACTCTGGCCCTATAATAACTGGGATTCCTGGCTTTGTGACTTATTAGCCATGTGGCTATGAGAAAGTTACTTAGCCTGCCGGAACCTCAATTTGCTCATGTAGAAAATGAGGATAATAATGGAACTTCTTAGGGTTGTTTTGAGAATTAAATGAGCTAATATTGGTAAATGACTTAAATTTATATTTGACACAGTAATAAAAAAATATTTCCTCTTCCAATGCCAGGGCAGAGCTCACAGGGAAATGCCACCCCCATTGCCCTCCTGCCCAAGACAAAGAATACAGTGAGATGACATTCTGGATAAAACAGAGTAATGTCAGTACAATGGACAGAGGAGTCTTTAGAGTTTGCTGTTAGAAAAGTGTGCTTTTCTTCCTCAGTACGGATGTAGACAGCACTATCTCTGAAAATTGATGGTTTTCCATGAGATATGTGTGTGTTTAATCCAATAGTTGCTTACACCATGAGCCAGAAAGATGAGAAAACATATTTTGCATCTCATACTAAGGGGGAGATTTTGATAACAATCCAACTTATAAGGCCAAACCATATATTAGATTATGTTGTCATTTGGGTGCCAAAGCCCACCCTGACTTGTTTTGTTAAAGTCCCCATAGAGTCATATAAGGCTGAAGAACTCAAACTTGAGGGAATGGTATCTGCAAAATAAACCTAGAACCAGTCTAACGTTCAGACCACTTCTCAGATGGATGCCTCAGCAGTGGCTAGGAGATAAGCTTTCTGAAAAGGCTTGTGTGTCTTATACAACTTTTTGCTTAAGTGCTTGGTACAAGATAACCACCACTGGTGTATATTAGTACTAGAATGCTTTTTGAACAAAGATATTTTAATTTTTCATGTTGTTCTAATTAAAAATACTCATTAATGTGTTGAAATCAAACACGAGACATCACTTCTTTCCAATTTAAGACCACATAGGCGGTTTAACACTCACAGAGGTCCCTTTCCAATTAGGCAAAAATGGAAGTTTCTATGGTGATCATGCTTAGAGTCATTACAGTCATTCCTTTCTCTTTCCTTGCCAATGCCCAATATACATCAAATTACTCACAATCACATAAAAACTGCCTAGCACCTCTAGAATCTTCTTACTTAAAAATATACTTTGTACTGGTGACTTTAAAAAGTAACTGCTATTTTTCTCCTGAATAACTAAAAAGGTAAACCAAATAGTTTTTCAACTAATTCATATAGGGTTTTCATAGTCAAATTTACTATCGGCACCCCTAGGGAGTTAATGAATCTTTCCTAAATAGAAAACCTTTGCTTAAAAAAAGTATCCTGAGACTCATATATGTAGCAGAATTCAAAAGTCATAAGATTTTTATACACCTAGAGAATCAATATTTTTCTCATTAATTATATCTCTTATGCTGTACTTTTAATCTGCATGACTCGTCTTGTAACTGAAAGTTTGTACCTCATAATCTCCTTTACCTACTTCACCCATTCTCTTACCCACCTCGCCTCAGGCAACCACCAGTTTGTTTTCTGTATTTAAGAGTCTGGTTTTTGTTTTTGTTGTTGTTTCTTCATTTGTTTTGTTTTTTAGATTCCACATATAAGTAAAATCAGATCATATTTGTCTTTCTCTTATTTCACTTAGCATAACACCCTCTAGGTCCATCAGTGTTGACACAAAAAGATCTCATCTTTTATAACTAATATCCCATATACCACATCTTATCTATTCATCTATCAAAGGAGACTTGGAAAGCTTGCATATCTTGGACATTGTAAATAATGCTATAATAAACATAGAAGTGCGTATATCTTTTTGAATTGGAGGTTTTCTTTTTTCTTCCCCCCCGCCTTTGGGTAAATACCCAGTAGTGGAATTACTAAGTCATATCGTACTTCCATTTTTAATTTCGTGAGGAAACTCTATACTGTTTTCCAGACTGGCTGTACTAATTTTCATTCCCACCAACAGTGCACAAGTGTTCATTTTTCTCAACATCCTTGCCAACACTTATTTCTTGTCTTTTTTATTGTTAACCATTGACAGGAGTCAGGTAATATCTCATTGTGCTTTTGATTTACATTTCCTTGATGATGAGTGATGTTGAACATCTTTTCATTTGTCTGTTGGCCATCTGTATGTCTTCTTTGGAAAATGTTTATTCAGGTACTCTGCCCATTTTCTTATTGGACTGTTTTGCTTTTTTTTATTGAAGAAGTTCTTTATATATTTTGGGTATTAGCCCCTTATCAGATATATCATTTGCAAGTATCTTCTCCCATTCACTAGGCTGCCTTTTTATTTTGTTGATGGTTTCCTTCACTGTGCAAAAGTTTTTTATTTTTGTGTAGTCCCAATAGTTTATTTTTGCTTTTCTTGCCCTTGTGTGAGGAAAGTGACCCCAAAATATATTGCTAAGATCAGTGTCAGGGAAGTTACCGCCTATGTTTACTTCTAGAACTTTCATGGTTTCAGGTCTTATATTAAGTCTTTAGTTCATTTTGAATTTCTCTTTGTATATGTTACAGATAGTGGTCTAGTTTTCTTGACACTATTTAGTAAAGAGACAGTCTTTTCCCCGTTGTATATTTTTGCCTCCTTTCTCTTAGGTTAATTGACCATATAATCATACGTTTATTTCTGGGCTCTCTATTCTTGTCCACTGGTCTGTTTTTGTGCCATATCATATCACTGTTATTATTATAGTTTTGTAATGTGGCTTGAAGTCAGGGAGCATTATACCTTCAGCATTTTTCTTATGTCTCAGGATTGCTTTGGCTATTAAGGATCATTTGTGTTCCATAAACATTTTAGGATTCTTTGTTCTAGTCTGCGAAAAATGCCATTGGCATTTTGATAGGAATTAAATCTGTAGATGGCTTTGGGTGGTATGGAAATTTTAAAAATATTAATTCTTTCAATTCATGAGCACAATATATCTTTCCATTTATTTGTGCAGTGTTTAATTTTATTTGTATAGTGTTTAATTTTTTTCCTCCAGTGACTTAAAGTTTTCAGATTACAGTCTTTCATCTCTTCAGTTAAATTTATTTCTAGGTATTTTATTCTTTTTGGTACAACTGTAAATTGAGAAATGAGTAATGCTGGCCTTCCAGAATGATCTGAGAAGATTTCCTTTCTCTTCTATTTTTTGGAATACTTTGAGAAGAACAGTTATTAGCTTTTCGTTAAATATTTGGTAGAATTCCCCTGTGATGCTATCTGGTCCCATACTTTTGTTTGTTGGGAGTTCTTTGATTATTAATTCAATTTCATTGCTAGTAATCTTTTTTTTTTTTTTTTCAAATTTTCTACTTCCTCCTGATTTAGTTTTGAAAGATATCATTTCTAGGAATTTATCCACTTAAATGGACATTTCTTAAGGTAATGGTCTGGTAGTTCCCAGAAATGTTTAAAGGCATTTCCTAGGGTGAGTGATAGGAAGGTTTGATTTTAGAAATAATAAAAATAAAATGCTGAGTTAAACAAAGTTAACCAGATTCTCTCAGAGTCTTAATGTACTAATATGTTTTATTAATATCTGAAGCAGACAGTCAAAATTATTTCTTAAAAATCACTGTTCGGTGGAACCCATTTTTTCTGTATAGCTTCTCAAGAAACCACTGCACATCAGAACATACTTTGGGTAGTGTTGCTTCAGTGAATTCCCAGAGTAGGGTTAATGTTCCATCTTGTCTGCTTAACTCTTCCAAAATTCCTTCTCCTTCAAATGGCTGTCAAGAACTTTAATTGTGGGAGTTCTCAGTTCACATTGTTATAAGCATGATTTTATTATTTAAAATGAGATGGGATTAAAAATAAGATCTTTGTAATGAGACATTTTAATTTTCACCATTTATATATAAACACAAGTTAATAAAACACATCACAAAACAGTAAAATTTTATAGTTAATATTTATAGGTGCATAGTTTCATGCTCACATATTTTTAAGTATTGTATATATTAACAAATTTCACAATACATCATTATTTTTAGACAGATTCATTAAAAGACACCTAGAAATCTTATAATATATGACAATAAATCACAACTTTTCAAGAACAGCAACAAAAAAATAGTGACGATTTAGAAATAAGTGGTAGTCACTTAGGTGTTTTAATTTAACTTTTAGATTTGAAGCCACAATATCCACACAGCACACAAAGACCCTGCTACCATATATTCACTTCAGTGAGAGGGAAGCACTGAAATGCTGAGTAAGGGCAGGTACAGATAATTTCAATCACTGCTGATGGAAGAGTTTAAAATACACTGTAAAAACTTTGAGAAAAATATCATGACTGGGCACGTTGGAACTGAGTACTTGTACAGGATGGAACATCTCTCAGTAGATCTCAAGAAACTGCGAGTAAAAGTATTTCTTATGCTTCGGGTTCATAGTCTTGATACCCTTCCTAATATGAAGAAAACCAAAAAGAAAACATGCAGTGTTAATATTAGTCATCAGGAATCAAGGATTTAGGGTGAATGAGATAGGACATGGATCACCACCTTGAATAAAGGTTCTGCAACTATTCAGTTATACACAATATGATCTTATTCTGTAACAGTTTTGTCTTCCTGTCAAATATAAAAGTGAATTTTGCTGCTCAGAGTTAGGGTATCCAGATGCCATTTAACAATCATATGGTCTTTTTTTTTTTTTATGCTTATTTATTTTTGAGAGAGACACAGACAAAGTGTGACGGGGGGAAGGCAGAGCGAGAAGGAATCCGAAGCAGGCTCTAGGCTCTGAGCTGTCAGCACAGAGCCCGATGCAGGGCTCAAACCTGCAACCTGTGGGATCATGACCTGAGCCAAAGTCAGATGCTCAGCCAACTGAGCCACCCAGGCGCCCCAATAATCATATGTTCTAATCGTATAGAACAAGTTAGGTGGTCTATCTTGCTCCCAGTTTCCTCAACTGTAAGTTATGAGAGCCAAATCAAGTGGCCTAAAATCCTCTTCCAGGGCTAAAATGTTCTAATTCTTAAAGGGAGACAAAGACATTAAGGCAAGTGATGTTTTGAAAATCTTTTCTTCATCCTTGGCTTCAGTTATTACTTCTATTCTAAATCCCCCTCTCCCCAAACAATATGTAGATAACATCCACAATAAAAATATTAAAGGCCTTAACTAAAGTGGTCAGAATAGTCCTCCTAAAGAATAACTTGAATCAAGATCCTGCTTTAAAACAAATAAATGTACCTTCAATAATTCAAGTTGCTTTCTGAATACAGTACAAACTTAAATGCGAAGGTTCTTCTAGTATTCTACAATTTGTCGTTGACTCATCTCTGCAGTCTTAATCTGTCACAATTCTCTCTGTTCCCTAAACTGAAATCCTGTTTAATTATTCACTGTTCCTCAAACATATCCTTATGCATGCTCAGACATGCCTTGCTTCCAATATTACCTGTTCTAGAATATCTTCCTTTCATTTTGGCCATCATTATCTCCCATCCCCTACCACACCAATCAACACCAACTCTTGTATAAAACTCCCGATGACTCTAAACAGATTCTGTAAAATATTATACTTTTTTGTGTATCTTCCATATTTTGCCTCTGTGATGCCTGATATATAGAAGACAGTCAATGTCTGTTAAAGGAATCATCATGAATAAATGAAACAGTAAATTTGTATTTGTTTTTATCAAACTTATTAGGATGGACTACTTGTGTCCTGGTACTATCAATTAACCTTCTTGTATTTTCTATAGTGTTTAGCATTGTGCTGAACTTAAAAAGACTCAAAATTATTGGTAAAAATCTAAGCAAAAAAACCAAGTTAATTTCAATTTCTATAAATGGGATTATCAGTATGTCTTTTACTAATGCCAATATCTAACCTAACTACTACTAGTTTTAACTTAATTTTTAATGAATACTATATGTTTTTTGCTTATGATGTCTGGTTTTGGCATCAGTGTAGTATTGCCCTGATGGAATTAATTTGGGAGTATTGCTTCCTCTTTTTTTTCTGGAAGAGAAATTAATTGGTATTAATTATAATTAATACTTATTAATTAAATGTTTGATAGAATTCACCAGTGAAGCTATATGGTCCTGGGATTTGTGTGTGTGTGTGTGGGGGGGGGGGGCCTAGATTTTCTTTTTCCTTTCTAAAAGAAAAATATTTTAATGTTTATTTTTAAAAGAGAAAAAGAGAGCATAAGCAGGGGAGGGGTATGGAGAGAAGGAGACACAGAATCTGAAGCAGGCTCCAGACTCTGAGCTGTCAGCACAGTGCCTGACATGGGGCTTGAACCCACAAACATGACATGAGATCATGACTTGAGCCAAATTCAGTCGTTCAACTGACTGAGCCACCAGGTGCCCCTGTGAGTAGATTTTCTTAATAATTCAGTCTCTTTACTTTGTTATAGGTCTATTCAGATTTTCTATTTCTTCTTGTGTCAGCTTCATTAATCTAAAAGTATTTTTCAATTTTCCTTGTGATACATTTTCTATTTAAAAAAAAAATGATTTCCAAATTAACATAGGTAAATTAGCTGTTTAAAATGCTAAATTGAAATACGTCAATGTTGCAAACCATGCATTTCTCATATTTTTACTCTATAATTTTTGTGGGCAACTTTTATTTTACTATGCAAATATCTTTCTGGAAATGTATGGCAATAATAATTACTTTCCTTAGGCATTCAGTTGATTCATACAAAGTTCCATCTGGGGATTTATTTTAGAAAGTAAGTTTTTGAAGGGAGTTAAGATGGCAGAAGCTTGTCTTATCCTTTGAACACACCTAGATAATTATCAAATCATTCATAACACCCAAGAAATCAATCAGAGGTGCGAGAGAACAAAAATGGCAAGTCTACAAGTAAAAAAGCAACCACCTTCCAGAAGGTGGGAGATGCAAGGTGTTGACTTGGGGAAGACAAAGCTGTGAGTATGGCGGCTGGGAGGAAACCTGCTTATGGAGGGTACTGCAAAGTATTATAGCAGTGGGGTACAAAATCTGAACTTTTAGTCCCTCACAGTGGGGGATGTGCATGGCTTAAAGGTGCTCGCATGGCCAATTGGGGCAGAATCCAAGGAGTGGCAGTGTGGTCTGAGAATCCCATGGATCCCATGGTCTGAGGATCCCATGGGTCTGAGAGGCACCAATATGTTGAGCTGTGTCCAGGCATAGGAGCTGGGACTTGGGCTGAGGGCATCAAGCAGGGGTGCCAGCTTTCTGCTCTTTGACATAAACGTTGAACTGCCATGGGGTCTTGTGACTGCTTTCCTAGCATGGGCTTGCAAAAAATGCAGCAAGACCCTCCCCCAGAGGAACAGAGCAGGTGTCGTGGGAGTCTTTACAATTTGGAGTTTTGAAACTCAGTTATGTGCCTGAGATAAAAAAGTTCGAACACAGCAGAGTGAACACGGGGTTCTGACAGAAACTGGGAACAGAAGAAGAGTGATTGAATACTCTTCTGTGAGGGCTCCCTGAAGAGT